TGCTGATTGAAATGACCCATGAAATCAAAGGTACTTTCATGCATCAATGAGAAATACTTAGCATTAATCATTAATTAGTCTAACACATAGACCTGCTGAGCTGTCACAACATTGTGGATAGGGCCTTCATGTCTCAGGATTCAACTAATGTAACAGGGACTGACAGTTTCATTGAGACATTTGGCATCAACAGTTATCCAGGTTTTAATACAACCCCATGAAAATCTCCAGACTACATCACTGCAGCCACAGCAAAATGGGGCTAGCAGAGAAAGAGTGAGTTTATTGAGGCTATCCTGCTCCTTTCCAGCATAGGACTGCCAGTCATTCCTCAGAGAGCTAAGCTGTGCTTTCAACTTCCACTGGGAAACTCCAGTTTCCCCAGCAAGCTATCCCAGTTCTTCCTTAACAGTGGAAAGACTTTCTTAACCATTAGCCTGGATATTTCTGGCTGCAATGCAAGACTATTGATTTGTATGATGTCCACCAGGGACATAACAAATAGATTGTTCTCTTCCTCCCTGCAACATTTCATGTTACTGAAAGAAAGTTAATCACATTCTTCTCCCATCCTTTCACTAGGCTGCATAACCCTGTTTCTTTTCATCAATCCTTAAGGATCTTTCTTGGTTCATTCTTTTTTTGTCTTTCTATTATTTTTGGCAGCAGAGTCTTTACTTTTCTTGAGGTGCAGTGCCTAATATCAGTGGGAGAGAGTGAAAGATTAATTCAGGCACCTTGCAGGTTATATTTCTGCTTGCGTGTCCAGGTACGATGGTAGCGTTTCTTGCAACATGACATATTGATTCATGTTCATGGAAGTGTATGTAACAACCAGACCCTTTTTAAAAGGAATTATGTCTAATTGGGTGACCTTGATTCTGTATTGGTACAGGTAATTTTATCTGCCTCCAGGTAGCACCTTGCATTTGGTATTTAATATTATCTCTTTTGTTCAGATCTTTTTTCAGACCAAGGTAATTTTGAATTTTAATCTTCTCCTCAAAGAAGGTCTCTTTGAGACCTCATCATGCTTCCATAGTACTTGCCCTATCTTTTCATCAAGAATCATTTCCTTAGCTTGTTTATGGAAGCATCATATTAAACATCAAAGTTCTGAAAAATCAAGATGTATGATAACCTACTATTTGTCATCCATTCCTCCTGACTGATTACAATCAGACACAGAAAATCCTTTCTTATATCAAATCCTATCCCCTGTTATCAAATCCACTCCAAGAAGGGATAATTTCTTTTTTTTTAAGGCTTAAAACTTCTTAGACCTCAGATACTAAGTCTTGTCCCAGGAATACACTACAAATTAGAAGAAAATAAGGAAAGATGCCTATAGCCACATCACTTAAGCAGACATGGAATAGTGTGGGGTTTTTTTCCATATTTTTTTATTAGCCTGCATCTAATCACTCCCAATTCATACTGCATTTAAAAGTAAGCCTGGTATTTGAGTCTAACAATTTTATTTTATGGATTTTTTTCTGTTTTGCTCAGTGGTTTTCCCGCAATAATCCTCTCTAAATTAACTATTCAATCTTAAAAAGTTTTACTTGGTAACTTGTCCCTAATCTCATTAAGGTAGCACTGCTTCCAGCAAGGCATTTTCAGCTGAGTTAGCAGTTAAGAAATTTGGCCCCTGATATGAAACATCCCTGGAAGCAAACCTGCATCCTGTTGTTTGTGCTGGTCCTACTCTCACATTCTTCCACTGTTATTGGTCCTGAGTTTATATAAGTTGTTTATATAAGTCTTTCAGTACCTTGGTGCACACTAAATGGCAGTAATTTTAAACTGAATCATGATGTGACAAATTGTTCTTTTACAGTTATTTATGGTTTTTACTTTGCCTGTTCTCATACAAAGTGTTAAAGAGCTGCATGATACTTCTTTTACCAGAAATAGAAGTGTTTAAAACAAATGTTATAGTAATGTTCCATTATCACCCAAGATCTGTTTTCCCTTTTCCAGTTAAACATGTTCTGTTAACTTCCAGTGAACAAACCCCATCCCAGTAGCAACATCTAAACATTTACTTTGTCTTTTTGCTGACTGCTCATAAATTTGAGACCCAGTGACCATTTACTTCCTCAATAATATCATCACCTGCAATTGATGGCTAGCAACTCACTTGGGTTGTGTTATGTCAGAGCTAAATAGATCAAGGTTGGAGTGACAACGTGCTGACAGATGACCAGGTGCATATCAAAGCACAAAGCCCCACCACTGTCAGTCTTGTGAGTTCGAACATGAAGAAATTGTCCCAGTCACTTCTTCAGCACGTGTTTATGCAAAGCATGGATGTCCATCTAGTGTACTCTGGGAAGTGTTATTCCACAGGAACATCTCACATTGGAAAGGTCAGGGAACACCTGCCTCTCTGGGACCCAGAAGTGCCACATTGCTCAGTGTCACCAGTGAGTCACTTCAGGACACGTAACTGGAAACTTTGACGTAGAAAACTTGGATGCTTGTAGGGGTGAGGCCTTTAGCACAAACCAGCAAGGAAGTGGGACTTTCAGGTTTAACTTGCAACCAAACTGCCAGGCACATGTCTCCTCCCTCCATCTCTCAATGGGTCAAACAGAAGATTGTAGGGAATAAAGGAAGACCTCCCAGCTCAAATTGTTGGTTTATTCCTAAGCATAAAAGAAATAGCCTAAGGACAAAGCAGCAGATGAGGCTCAGTTTCTGGCAGACAGCAGGGTGGGCCTCCATCCTGCAAATGACCCATAATTGTAGTTAAATGCGTCTCCCTGTCCTGGCAAAAGGAAACTGTCTGTTAGCACTGGGTAAGTCTGTGGGTAAGTTCTGGGGGTAGTTAGGCAGGACCTGCTCCCTCTGTGAGCCCCGGAGCAGCTCCAGGAGCCCAGCCCTGCCCCTGCTCTGCCACCTCTGCCACTGAAGGGGCCAGCTCAGCTCGGCTGCAAAGACCTGGGGAGGGGAAGGAAGCTGGTGACAGGGAGGGGCTCCCACCCTTCCCAGTGCTCCTCTCCCTCCTCAGGATGGAGCTGTAGCTGTGGCATGTCTCAGCTCACTGCCCAGTCCTGGGGGCTGTGCTCCATTCCCCAGCCTGCTGCCAGCGGCTGTGGGGGGTGGCCCTGAGCCCACCCCACTGTGACCCAGAGGACGTTATTTGGTACAAACTGCTGCTTTTCATCCAGGCCACTCAGCAGAAGCTGAAGAAGGTACCAGCCCCTGGGGCAGTCTTCTTCTGACTTCTCAAAAATCTTGAGAAGGTAAAAATCATCTTACAGTCCAGGGCTCTTGTCATGATTCCTCCTGGCTCAGAGAAGCCTTTTCAAAGCAGCTGTGTTATTTATACACAATTTGAGGCTGCTGTGTTACATGTGAAGGAGTCACGGGAACAAGCCTACAAGACACTTAAACCATTACCAAAATGAAGCTGATTTAAATTTGTGCATCGTAGAGATGACCTGTGATACAATATACTGTTTTTTACATTCCCATTTATTGGCAACAGGACAGGAGAATGACCAAGGTCCACCTCTGGTTTCACAGGGTTTTTCCGGTGCTTGACCAGCATTGTTAAGTTTAGGCCTGCACTGCCTGAGCATCCCAAACGCTATCCCAGCAAGGCTGGACTCTTCCTTCCAAGCCCAGGAGCTGGCAGTGCAGCCAGCCCAGCCGCTTCAGTGTAGTTCTCCTGGTGCAAATCAGACACACTCAGACCTTCCACCTTTGGTCATGTACTTGTAGCATGAATTTTGGCTTATTGTCTGGAAAAAAATAAAATGCTGTGGCTTTTTGTTTGCTAGTATTCTCAGTGCAAGGACAGGATTAAACACATGGAGGGAATCTCTGATGACCCCACAAAAGAGAGTAGAATACAAGAGTTGGGAGGGAAGGACACACCTCCACCTGAGCTGCTAAAAAAGGCTGAGCAGGTAACATTACTTCTCTTGTCATAATCTCTCATGCTGTGATTGACCTCTTTTAGAAAAAGGAAATGGTATTTTTTATTTTTAAAATACACTTTCTGTCCTGATTGGCTTATAAGAACTCTAGCACAGTGTCTGCTTTCCAGGACAATTGGATATGGGACATTTTAACTTTTTCCAGCAGTGGATGGAGAGGGGGAGCTCTGTGTGGTAAACCTGCCTCCCCAGCATCCTCTGCCAACTGGTCCATTTGCATCATTGGCACTTCAATGCAGACCCTCCTGCTTCTCTGTGAGAAGGCACAGAAAAGGCAGCAGAGGGAAACAAAAATAAACAATGAACTGCTAACAAACAAAGCTGTCATTCTTCTGCAACTGGCTACTAGTTGTTCCACCACTCTGCAGGGGCTCCGAGCAGGAGGGAGTCCCAGTACTCTCCTATCGAAGTCTGAATACATGACATAGAACCAAACAAAAAAGGCTTTCTTTGTACTGCTTTGTTTCCACACAGAGCAAGGAGCCACAGAACAGACCCTGATGGCTGTGGCTACCACGCAGCTGCACACCTGATTGCAGCACTGCCAGTGACTGCCAGAGAAAGCTTCAAAGTGAAGCATTAAATCCAGTATGAAAGCCAATTTCAGGGCACCTCCTGTATGGCATATGTGGGGAGGGTAAAGGAACAGAACAAGCAACCATGGTATTTGCTTAGGTATCTTGTCTGTCCCATTTATAGGGGTCAAAACTCCCTCTACCGTATTTAGGATTCAGGGTGTATTCATACAAGTCCTCCTTCTGAAATCCAGTTTGTAAGGATTTTACCATAAACACGTGTGCTTGAGTTACTTGAGCTCTCCTGTCCCCTATTCCTTGACAGGAAGGAGCTCTGCATAGCCAAGCAGGCTAGAACACAGCCTCTAACACTAACCTGCACATCAAAAAGCTGGTTTATTGGAGCTCTGAGATAAGTTTAAATGTTCTCATTCCATCTGCTTATGATTTTAAACTTCCTTTAGCTCCATAGTACTTTCTTAGTCTTTGGAGCCCATACTTCTTGTTTTTTAGCAGAAAGATGGAAAAGGTATTTAAAGCAAAAGCTGAAACCTTCCAATTATGGTGTGGCTCAAGGAACCAAAAAGTTTAGAAAAAAATTTTTTTTCAATAAAATCACAGCAAAGTAGTAATAATGCTGGTGTGACCCCCTGCCCCCCTGCTGTTTACCTATGCCCTGTACCCTCCTCTTGCTGCAGCTAGAGGTAGAGCTGTTGCAGAAGGAGGAGAAGTTGATAGAGACAGATCTCCTCTACAAGCACGTTTCCCAGCTGACAGAGACACTCCAAGCCACGGCAGAGACTGGGAGGCAGGACACCCTGCTGTCAGCTAAAAGGGTAAGAAGGGCATTGCACACTCAGTTTGCTGGCCTACATGAAATATCTGGGCAAGAGGTGAGATGACTCACTTGCAAATTACAAAAGTGGCTGAAAATAGTGAGAGACAAATAATGTTTAGTCTTTAGAAATTATAGACATTTAGTAGTAACAGCAATAGAGACATACCAAAAACATTAGGTGAGCATACTTTCTTTTTAAAAGAAAGTTGCATGGGAAATAGTTACCTTCACCAAAATACAGTAGTTTTTTTCTCAGGTAGATGCTTAGAAACTTGGCAGAATCCTTTTGCACGTGTACTTAGCAGCGTTTCCACAAGAAACACTTCAAAGGCTAAAAAGAAATATGGAAAAGGCCAATTCTATTCCAGCATACAAAAAGATAAACATGATATCTGGCTCAATGTTCCTTAACGAAAAAGCTCCACATAGAGCAGAGCTGAGTGAAAGACAGAAGAAAAATGCTAAATAACTAATGTAAAAGGGCAGGGTTTATTTGTTTGGTACTCAGAAAGGCTTAAAATAAAACACAGCTTTACAGTAAATCTTTAATTTTCCACAGAGAGAGAAATAATACGTCTGTTGTTCAGGTTTGTGAAATCACAGCCATGGGCTAATAAACTACTGTAAAATGGCAGAATGCCAGAAGTGTCCTGTCTTTCCCAATTCCTTATTAGCCACTTCAAAAAGTGTAAGTTTTGTTGGGGTTTTTTTTGTTGTTTATTTGAATTATCAGCAGTCAGTCTCAAGGATTCCTGTCCCATTCCTTTTCTGTTCACCCCCTGCCAAGGGTAGCTCCACAACCCACAGCCCAGCTGCACCTGCATTATCACCCAAATATCTTGTAAGGATCGGGCTTATTACACTTTTTATTACAAAGTCAGTGGTGCACAAGGTCAATCAGAATCTGGGTTTGATACTTGCCTCTGTAGGCAATAGGAGTTTTACTATTCAGCTGAAAAGGGCAGGAGATAAATGTAAATTTGCATTTCTGTATCCTGGAGTAAATGTAACTTTTTAACAAAGTTTGTGCGGTTCTGAGTGTACAGACACGTCCTGTCATCAAGTCATTTTCAAGAATGGAACGATTTTTCAAAGCAGAGTTGGACTTGTTTTCAAATACTTAATACTTACCTAAGTGTCATGTCCACTAAATGTCTAAAGGGAAGCCCAGACTAAAATGTAGTTGTTACTTATTCCAGATAAATGAAGTGCAGAAGAAGATAAAGGAGATAAACCAGAAGATAACAGCTCTTGTTGCAGAGTTATCCATGAAGAAAGCGCTTGCCATTCAACTCCAGCAGGAAATAAGAGACAAAGAGCAATTTTTGATGACTGTTTCATCAAGGGTAGATCAAGGCCTACCTCCCCCCAAAGAAATAGAAAATGAATGGTTGAAGATATTACGCAACGAAAAGATGCGAAAAGAAGCAGCTAAAGCCAGAGCTAAAGTAAGTTTTTGCCATACATTGCAATTACATCTTCAGCCCCATCATTTCACTGCTCTACTGCTCTTTCTGGAAGAGCTGTGCTACCTCACTGCCAACCCCAGAGCTCCAGGAGGCAGTGGAGATGAGACAGAGACACACAGAGACAACTACAGAAGTGGCACATGGTGGCTTTGTGTAGTTGTTACTATAGTTGGGCACACTGCTCAGGACTGGTCACTGAATTCTAGAGAGAATATACTAAAATGATAACTTCCCTTCAATTACTACAGTAATTTGTGTGACCGTTTTGGGATGATGGGCAGGACAGCCATTGGTGAAGTGTTGCCTTCCATTTGACTTCAAGGTAAAGCTGCAAAAAGTGGGGTAGAGACTTCAGCAAAAATAAGTTTAGTGTCTTCCCCAGACCAGATGCAGTGAATGTCAGATCAGAAGAGCAAGAAATCAGATTGCTGGGTAAGACAGTGAGGGTAGGCAGGGCAGTGTATCAAATAGTGATTCAAATTCTACCCTGCTGGATACTATTCCTTCTTGGTTGAGAACATCAGTGATCCCTAAGCAGAGAGTTTCTAGAGAAGAAAAAGTAGTACAAGTGAGATGTGCATACTGAGGGAACTCCTGCTGATGGGAAGTGAGCTTTGCAATATGAATCCTTTAGTTGATCACTCCAAGGAAATCTGAAAGGCACAAAAAACTAGGAGAGCAATACACTGTGCATCCACTTAAAGAAACTGAAGTCACGCAGAACTGCAAGAGTAAAGCCAGCTTAGAATAAAAAACTTCTCTGGCATTAACACTTCATGCTACAACTCAATTTCCTTTCAGTGCTGAGGATACAAGCTCACTGCAGTCACAATAACCAGGAGCAGCTGCTGTCAGTGCAAACACAGTCACGTTTTTAAGCATCAGAACTGTTCTCTTGAGCCCGAGATGTTCTGTGCACACTTACTTATAAAAGTTCATCTAATCTGTTTTCTTCACAGGTAACATAAGCATTACAGAACACTATGCAAAAGGACAAAGTCACATCTAGGTGGCAAATCACTCATGCTTTCCTTTCAATGAGCAATTAATACCTCGCTGGGTTTCCTGGTTTGCTAGGAATTAGACTAATGGTGTTTCCTTTGTTAGGCATTTGGTACACGGACTCAGGAGAGTACAGGAATTTTAAAGCATGTACCCACCAAGTAACCCAAAGGTGTTTGTTGTTTCACAGCATATTGCAGAAGAGAGGCAAGCTGCACACCTGGGCTGTGTCCGCACGACAGCTGAGCAGCGCCCAACCGCCTACATCCCAGAGGATGGATCCAGCCTCCCCTTGCCACAGCCCTATGGAGCTCTGGCTCCTTTCAAACCAAGTGAACGCAGTTCAAATTTGAGACATTTCAGAAAACCCATTGTAAAGCCAATTAAAATCTGAACAGACAGCACCTAAAGAAGGACTACCAGTGCTGAATCTCTAGCGTCAATAGCATTTTCACTGCACTGAAGGAATGTCCATAATTTTTTAGCCAAGTCATTTGTGAATTCCAGAAGCATAGCTAAATGCCCAGTGATATGAGTTCCCTCCTCCTGGCTAGGAGAAGCCTGTTATTCCAAATGCAGTGTAATACTTTAAAATGTTCAGAAAAATGAGCCATCATCATACTATGCTTATTTTTTTCCAGGTGAAGTTTTATTGCATCTGATTCTATGTTATAATAAATTTCATTTAAAAAAAAAAAAAAAAAAAAAGCTAGAAAATCTTCTCCTGTTATTGATATATATTGCCAGACAAATTTTACTTATATTGAGAAGAATATTCCTTCTCTCTATGCAGTTACTGAGAAAGCCAGAACTCTTAGTCCACTAATGGGAGTACTGATGACAAGGGAATGACCATGAACTTGCCGAGTCATTCCCAATAACTGGATTTTTTTATTTCACTGGTTAGGAACAGGGAGCACCAGATCTCTCCTCAGTGAAAGTATCAGAGGTGTTACTGAAAACCTCCAAAATCTATCATATTGTCAATGAGTTTCACTAGCTTAATAGTCTGAAACTTTGATAGAGTTGCTTTTAAATTCAATAAAGACTGCAGCAATCCTTCATGTCAGAACTTAAGATTTTCTCTGCATAACAAACCACTATTACTACTGTAATTTAATGTCACATTTCAGAATTTAAAAAAAAAAACACCACAATAAACAACAGTTTATATAAATAAAAGTTGAAAATTAAGGAAAAGCAACCTCCGTAATTTATTTTTGAAGCTGAGGTTTGAACTATAACACTAAAAGTTTTAAGGAAAGTATTAAGTAAAACACTGTCACCATTAAGATAAATTTCTAAAGAACTGTTTTCTTATCCTGTAGTGCTTAGAATATATAATACTTATACTAAAGAAACCAAACAAAACCCCATTGCATAGACCTTAGGATTATATTTTGCACTAATTACAGAACTACCTGAAAGGAGGTTGTAGAGGGGTGGGTGTTGGCCTCTTCTCCCAAGTGAATAATAACAGGACTAGAGGAAATGGTCTGAAGTTGCAGCAGGGAAGGTTTAAATTGGATATTAGGAAGAACTTCTTTACTGAAAGAGTGGTCAGGCAGAGGAGCAGCCTGCTAAGGGAGGTGGTGGAGTCACCATCCTTGGAGGTGTTCAAGAAACATGTAGATGTGGAACTTCAGAGCATGATCTAGTGGACAAGACTGTAGGTTGTTGGGGGGGGGTCTGTAGGTGTTTTTTGGTGGTGTTTGTGTTTGCTTGGGGTTTTGTTGTGTGGGTGTGTTTTGGGGTTTTTTTTGTTGGTTGGTTGGATTTTTGTTGTGTTTTTTTTTTTATGGTTGTTGGACTCAGTGGCCTCAGAGGTCCTTTCCAACCATGACTATTCTGCAATTCTGTGAAACTGAATGTATTAGATTCTAACTCCAAAGGCAGGAGAACCATAAAATATCACATGACCACCACAAGGAATGAATAAATCATTACTGATGTATTATATACAGACACTGGTTCATAATTTGTTATTCTTAACTGCTTTACATAGATATATCAAAAAATCTTTATTAATCTAAATGAGTAAACAGTTACAGGTTTCTTGTTACTGTACAATACAAATGGAATACGTTTTTCAGCATTGTCCATCTTCTTAAAATAATTGGCATTAATACCAATTTTCACAGTGTGTTTTGATACTTGCTGTAGTTCCACCTACTTGACCACTTTGACATGAAACAATGAAACCACAGTTACCTTTCATTGGAAACCTGGGTTTGTGTCAAACGAATTTCTCTAGAAGTCAGTGATGTCAGCCTTCATAGGTTGCACCAAGCAATACTTTGAGTAGCTTATGTCAGTAATGGTGACTACACAAAACTGTCATTTAAGTTTAAAACAAACATTAAAAAAAAAAGTTGGCTGCATGCTTCTGCATGAGTTTTTTTATGTAAGAGCACCACAGTTAGCTTTCTTCAGCAACATGCTATTTCAGGAATATTTGATACCCAAAAGCATCATGGTGTGTTTGAGTGCTGTTTCTTCGACAAATCTTACATTAACATGATCTTGTTTTTCATATGGATGCACACCTAGAAAAATATTGTAAGAAAGTTAGTATTTACAAAATCGTGTTTGTGCACACTTAGTCCTGCAGTCTATTAAACATCTTCATCTACAACACTGAAAGATCAGGTAATAGATGGACCTGTGTTTTCATTTATATAAAATACCTACAGCTTCCAGTGGAGTCATTTGGATGCTCATCCCTGGCAGAAACTGTCCTGTTCATGGGAGATAAGTAAACAATAGACCGTCTCTAGGAGCCACTAGGGACTTCCATAATAATTCTACACTGGAGATCCAAAACAAGATTTAAGCACAGTGGTTATATTTGTGCTAGTACATAAAATGGACTAGGACATTCTCATATGCTTCTCTATGGTTTAGCTTCCCAAATGGGATTGTACTCATACACATACAATCCTGCTTTAACCTTCAGGTCCTTATCCTGACTTAATTTTCTTTATTAGTATAGGCATAGCCAGTAATGCTAAGAAGTATGCTGCTTCCCTTGATGCACTTTGCTTTTACAGTGGAATTAAAAAAACAGATGTTTAGGTTCATTGTATGAAGCAAGTGCCCTAACCAATTTGAATTAAATTTCAAAAAAAGGAACAGTGTTGAAATGAAAAAAATACCTGTTACTTCAGAGCACCACCCAGCCTAGTGATGTGGGTAGTCTTTTCTAAGGTGGAAGACCTGAGTTTGGCTGCCTCTCAGCCACCATACTGTATAAATAAGGAACATACCCTACTCCCCATTTGAACAAAGAATAACAGCTACCAACAAACTGTACATGAACTAACTACATTTCACTACGTCTGTTCTGAAAAACGGAAGCTTGTCAACTGAACTCAAGGCACAGAGGATTTGGACGAAAGGAGATGCAGTGAATAAGCCCCCCCACAACTTCCATCAGCAGAAAGATGGCCAAACCTACACGCTCAGTCATTACTGGGGTTTTAGAACTCAGTTATGTCAATGTAGTTAGGATACAGCTGAGTCTGAGCAACAAAGAGTAACAATTACTGCTCTTCCAAAGTACAGAATTAACATTACCTTGATTCTCTATGTCTGCCAGCATATTAGTCAGGTAGTTAAGTGGCAAAAACTCTACAGAGACTGAGAGTCTCTCAGGAGTAGGTCTGCTACACTGCAAGGGAGAATATTTCAAGTTAGTTCACAAAGTTGCACAGTGCCAAGTTTCAGTGTTAACTTTAGTGTGTTATAGTCTACAGAAAGGTCAGGAATCTCAACCCTGCCAAAGCAAAAGTGGCCTTTTTGCTCTTACCTGCCTGTTCCCCAGCTTCTCAAGCAGAAGTTTCACATATTTCCGTGCAACAAAATTAGCATTCATTGGATGATTCCAAAACTGGTGGACCTTTTGACCAAGAGCCTGGTAAGCAAGAAAACAAAACACAAAAACCTGAGAACATAAACACAGGATAGTGGAAACTTACGAGTGGGAAAAGCAGGAAAAAAATTGAAGCAAAACCCAGGCTGTAACATAGACTGCTTTGCTTTCAGACACTGATGACAGAGGCTGAGACGTCATTTTTAGCCATGGAGTTTTCCTTTCATAGCCTGTAACTAAGATATTAGAATATACTCCCAAAATGTGAGAAACAATAAAATCCCTGCTAGTCAGTACCCACTGAGCTACTCAGTAACTTCCTATCAATGAAGTCTGTCCTATTATCTCTGTCCCACGTTGCATGTGTACTTAAATATTAAGTGAGACTTAAAATGATCCTTAAAAACTTAAAAAATCCTTTGTGACTCTTTGGTTTAGATCAATTCTCCTTCCAAAGGACAACCCAGCTACCCCACCCCTCAATGCCCTCTTCACAACAGGGCTTCTCTCAAGCTCAGTCTAAGGAATCTTACAAAGGCAAAATGCCAAGGAGAGATACTGGGAATAAAATTTGCATCCATTATTTAGGACAGCATCCTGAGAATTGGTAACATTGGTTCACATTCCCAAAGGCAAGAGAGATTCAAACCCAGATATCCCAAAGCTTCCAGTCCTAACAGATAAGGAAACTATGAACACACTGAGAAATCTGCTCCACCTTTTGCAGTTTTCCCTATCTAGATCTTCCACCCCTCTATTTCAGTTGCATTGCAATACAGACTAATGAAAGAATTCACTTGGGCTTCTGATGCAGCTGAAGTCATCTACTGAATGTAACCTGCTCAGAATAGTCTGAGTCACCCCACAGTGTCCTTATTGGCAAATAAGCTATTCTCTGCATTTTTTCCCAAAGCTGTAAATAGATACAATAAGGCACTACTGTGATAACCAGCAGTACATGTTCCCTAGAGCACTCCCAGCTCAGCCCCTCGCATTAAAGCGCGGTTGGAATGGTGCTCCCCACCCACCAGGCCTGGGGCTGACAGCTCTGCCAGGCCCTGCACTGACCCCAGCTCACCAACCCTGGCCCAAAACAAGATACAGAGGACAAAGAACCTCCTGTGAAGTTCTCCTTCCCTTTCCCTTCTCAAAACTGCTACCAAATAAAGACACCCTTGTTAGAGGAAAACCAAAGCAGCACTTCTGGCCATTTGAACTATATGTAAAAGCCCATAATGAACAAACAATAAGCAATTTATGTTAAGAAAAGCCTGGTTTAGAGCAAGACACTCCCCAGGGGGGACTCCCTGGTTTTCCTCTGCTCACTGCAATGTTGTACTTCCTCTGCAGTACTGTGGTGTGCACTAAGAATGAAAGGGGAAAAGGAGAAGTCAATCTCCCGTTCTGTTGGAACTTTTAATGGAGCATCAGTAATTAGTTCCAGCATGTGGCTAACCGAGTCACCTTACCAAAGGACAAGGCTGGGAGATGTCACACAGGGGGAGATGTTGCAATTCAGTCCC